GCTGATGAATTGACTTGAGAAGATTAAAATTGAAAAATGTTGATTTGATTTGATTGCGAAAAACACTCAGGATCAAAAGGCGTTTATCAAGACGCCTTCAGATGCAAATTGATGCGTTTCGAAAACCTAGGGTGTCGGTATTTATAGCTGGAGATATGGGTGAGTTGGAGGCCAACCATGGTTAGATAACGGACGGCAGATAAAGGACATGATTGTTAACCATGGTTTATATCAGGTTGATGGTTAAGTATGGCGCATGTGAGTCTGGGTTGGCATTTTGATTTTTAATAACATGCTTTTGCCGCTTGTTTTAAGGCCTTTCATTGACACCCCTCATGTTTCAACAAATGTTACAAAACACCCTTTTACACATATTTTAAACTTGTTTTCATGTATAACCGGAGTTGTGGCGGCCCTGAGGCTATGCGAGTGGTGTAGTCACATTGGGTCTCCGATTTTAAAGGATCTCTGAATTTATGGACAGCTATATAGTTATTGTGTTTGTATTTTCATAAAATGCATTTTTACACGCTATTATTTGAGAAAAATTGACAGTATCGATTAGTTATATACATAACGTAACATTTGCTTACAATCTTGAAGTAATTTTAAATACGAAAAAAATCAACAAAAATCATCAATCAAAATCTTGTCATAAATTGTATAACTTATCAGCATATTAAAGAAAATATTTATATAAAAAATTGCATATATATATATATATATATATATATTATATATATATATATATATATATATATATATATATATATATATATATATATAATCTAAGTTATAGAAAACGTTTTAGCTTTTTACAAACTCACAAAAAAGATCAACCCTAAAAAACCTAATAATAATGTTTGTAGATTGTCAGTATTGCCCGTCTCTCTCGCTAAAACTTGTGGTTTTGCTATCTTGAACCATGATACAATGTTGAGTTGTTGGTCGCCGCTTTTTCTCCTCTAAGTCTTTTATGTGATTCCTTAAGTATAGGATGGCATCTTTTATCTCTTTAAATTTCTCAACTTCCAACCGTACTTGTCTACTTTCCTTCCTAGGTTAAATGTTAATTCTTATTTGAATAATTTATCTCTGAATACATAATAAAGTTAAGGAATAATAAAGTAGAGAAACTCAAAAACAATGTTCTTGGTTTGTCTTTTTGTATAGGACAATGTTTTGTAAGTTGTGTTTATTAGTCTATCACTATGCTTTATTGATTTAGCATTACAATGTTTGGTATATAGGGATCAGAATAATGCATTAACGGATTTTAAGGTTGGGGAGGGGGGATGGATTTCTCATTTTTTGGCTTCTAATATTAATATAATATAGTATAATATTTAGAAATATTAGAAAACAAGAAACTTGTTTGATGCCCTAATTGTTTTAAACAATAACTTGTTACTATTTTAAACATTAACTTTTTAATAATAATACAAATATACATTGTTAAATTCGAATTTCAGGTTGTTCGCACGACGTGGCAGAGGACTAGCCACGTCGTGACAATACATATTATCAATTTGTTTTTGTTTTTCTAGTTTCATATTCTATATGCAATTAATAGAAAAGCATAGATCTGATACCACTATTGAGAATTTAGGTTACAATCAATATGTACGTGTGGAATTTCACTTAACTCTTAAGGGTATATGTAACCTAATGGATACATGTCTTTTCTCAAATAATAACAACATACTTATGAAACAAAAACTTTAAACCCTATGAATCAAATTCATGAACTGAACCGCATACCTATAGCTTAAGTCGAATTAAGCTAATAAAAAACTCTTGATAATCTCCTTAAAAAACTAGCTTCAAAAGTATGTGAGCCTCTAATGCATCACACCCAAAACTCGAGGAAACCCTAGAATCGAATAGAAAAGAAGGGAGAAGGAAGAAATTTGATTTCTTTAGGTAGCTAGGGAGGCGCCCTATTTATACTTGCCAAATACCTTAGAAACCCAAATTTTGAATAATAAAATAATAGTACTTTATGTAACGCCCGTAGATCCGGACTAGTCAATTTAGAGACGATAAGCATCAAAAATGATTTTTTGATGGAAGATTATTTAGAATGATTAATCTTAACCAAGTTGTAGTATATTCCACAAGGTTTCCGTGCATATAAAGAACACCAAAATCAGAGTTATAATAGAGAAGTGATGACCTGTCGAAGTTTCGCGACAGAACCGGCACGACACAACGTAACGTAAATAGTGAATTTACGTTAAGAGCGATATTTATCCAAAACAATCTAAATGATAATTGAAGATCTCATCGATAGTATTCCAACAATAAAAAGACAGATGAAAACGGAGTTCAGATGAAGGAGTTATGAGTTTATAACAGAGTTTTCCTGTTCCGGCCTACTAAAAATAATATATAAGTAATATAATTATAATATATTAAAAATAAATTCACCTTTGCATCGATATAAAGAATATCGAAAACGGAGTTCGTATGCGAAAGTTATGAATTTCTGAAGTTCGGGGCGCGAAACCCCAAAACTGTCAGAGACCACGACGTGGCCAGCAGTGTCACGACGTGGCAAGTCTCCTGGCACCTTTGGGAGTCTCCCAGATGCAACTTGGGATGACGCATGCAGTGATGATCAAGCCCACGACGTGGCAAGGGCCAGTTTTGCCCTATAAATAGATTTGAAGGGCCAGTCGAGTTTGGTTGCTCATTCTCTCATCTCTCTCCCATATTACATCATTTTACGTGCAATTTTAACCCCCTAAAGCCCCGGTATCAACCCCAAGACCCGAAGCAAGTCCCAAAGCCCGAAGATCCCGAGAAGAAAAGAGTTCCGAGCCGAAGCTCTGCCCGCGAGAAACCCGGTGTGTGAAGTGATCCCGGTTTCACCGAAGAATACTACTTCTACAAGTTGTAGTGATGTCCGATCATCTTCTGATCAAGTGAGTGTATAGTCACTTTCATCTTACAAATAGATATGAAGTATTTTATAAAATACGTGTTATGTGTATATATATTGTTGTTTATACGTGTGAGTATGTGATCACTTTCTTCTAACATATATATATAAGTCTTTGCTATGAAATACGTGCTATGTGTTTATATATTGCTGTTTATTTGAGATGAGTGCGGAATGGATGTTTTATATAGGTATTAAATGAGTTAATATGTATATGTATTTTATATCTACAAATATGTTGGGTAGAACATGGGTAGATGAATTAGATGATGTGTGGTGATAATTAGGTGATGAGAAATAGGTGATGATAATTAGGTGATGAGAAATAGGTGATGATAATTAGGTGATGAGAAATAGGTGATGATAAATAGGTGATGTGAGATGAGAGGAGATACCATAACCTTGATCGGCGATGTGGTAATTTGGCGATGTAGTCATATACCAGAGTATAGATGGCTACCACGGACTATTCTAGATGACCCCGTGGAAACACCAGCAAGCTCATAACCTGTAGGTGATGAATTACGAGTCCAGGCGATGTTGTGGCTACGTATTCATGCGATGATACTCTAACCCTTACTATGAATTACGAGTCCAGGCGATGTTGTGGCTACGTATTCATGCGACGATACTCTAACCCTTACTATGAATCACGAGTCCAGGCGATGTTGTGGCTACGTATTCATGCTATGATAGACTAACCCTTACTATGAATTACGAGTCCAGGCGATGTTGTGGCTACGTATTCATGCGATGATATTCTAACCCTTATTATGATTTACGAGTCCAGGCGATGTTGTGGCTGTGTAATCATGCGATGATACCCTAACCCTTACTAGACATATATTGAGGGAGTGATCCCCGAATTAGTATTGTCTATGCAATGTAGGCGATGATCCTTAGGAAAAGTTCTTAGGAACAAGCATATAAGGATATAAGATGTAAGGAGATTAGCGGTAAATATGATATAGGAGATGACCCTTAGGATAATATCTTTAAGGGAAATTAAAAGAAGATAATGGGGATGGGTAATTGGGTTGATTGTTTGATGATTTAATATATATGATATAATATTGTGGGTTGAAAACCCTATATGCTCACCAGGCTCCCAAGCCTGACCCACTCAGTTTAATTGTATCACAGGTATCGATACGAAGCTGCTTTGCACTGAGAGATTAAAGGAGATGTAAATCACTAGAGTAAATGAATGTATGGTCTGTTTATGCTTATGTGTCTGTATTGGAACATCACATCCCGAGGTT